CTACATGTGAGCTCTTATATAAGCACATAGAGTGATTATATTGCCACAAGAAAACCGAACCTGATCTTGACATTTTAGTGTGTCCAATAACAATATTCTTGACTTTTCAGTGAAAACACCGGTTTTGAATGCAGTAATGTGGCACACAGGATTGCCATGGTGAATATGAAGCTGCTTTCTTCTATCAGCACTGCGGAGCATCTCCATCTATTGTAAGAACCCACCAGTGAGATACTGACTGAATTTGTGTTCATGAATCTAATGCTTACTCTAGTTTAATAAGCATTATATGTAGTAAGGTATTTAGTGATGGATGTCTCTTGATTATTCCCAACCAGTGCTCAGAGGTTTGCGCATGAGTTTCCAGACTTTGTAGACAATAAGAAAAAACTCCCACTGGTAAGAGTTGTGCTTTGTGAAATGTATATTGAATAAATGAACTAGAACACAATAGTTTGCATCCTTGAGGTTTATCATTGTGTGTAGATTGAAGAGGATTTGCAGCGGATATATGGCAGTGGAGTCAGAGAGTTCCAGAATCAACTACAGCATTTGCATGTGATGCTGTCTAAACATTCCGAGACACTGGCCCAGGATAAGAGGTAACACAACCTGTTAGGATCATTTGGGGGAAAATGATACAGTTTACTATTTTCAAACATATTCATCATTGTATTAAATCATTATCCTGGTGCCAAGGGATTTTCCTTAATTCTCTTATTTTATTTTTATTGAAAAACCTTGAAAATAAACTTAAAAACTATAGATAACATTTATCTTGCAGTGCCATAACATAGTAAAACATTTCAGCACAGCATTTGTCCAAATGTTGATTTAACTCGTTCTGTAAATTGAATTCAATAATAAACATCACATATTATCACATGTATAACATAAACAAAAATGCAAGCATTCGTTAATTATAAATTATTTCCCAAAAAAAAATGTATGCTTCAAATGGTTGATTAAAATCTATACATTTGCATATAAATAAAATGCATTTAATAAATTTTAATCCTGTGTTAATAATTAAATAGGTTTTTCTTCCTCTTAATGCAGCATCCAGAAGATGGAGGTTTTATTGGGGAAGATTGTTGCAGTACATCAGCAGTATTGCAAAGACAGAATGACAGGAAGTAATTGGATGCATGTTTTTTCTCTCATATTAATATAACACAACAAATTACAGATGAATCTACATTGGGGGTTTGATGAGTGGAGCCAGTGCTGAGATTAGTCAGATTAGTTCTCAGTACTGCGCTGCAGGGAAGGGAGGCACTGTTGTGCTGCCTTATCTGACAGTACGGACCATTCCAGACAGGCAAGCATGGAGACAGAAGAATATGCCTGGCTGCATTGATAATGTTAGATATGACGCTGCAGAGAAGCCAGTCAGCTAAAATAGTGCTTATCTTGAGCAGTCGCACAGAAAAAAAGGAACTACGGTGTTGGGTTGAGGTTTTCAAATGACTGCTTTGACTGCTATTAATTTATTCTCTTTCTGTCCCAGAGCTTAGCTACAATGACGAACAGATTCACAAGTTTGAGAAGTAAGTATTAAACACCAGGAGCATCTTGAATCAGTGCCCGTTCTCACAGTGATTAAACTGAGAAACGACTGTTTTCTGCTCAGGCTCAATCTGTCTTCATACATAAAGAAGGTCAAGAGTTTATTCAAGGATGACTGTTTGCAGAAATACCAGGATGTTCTGATGGCTGCTGGCAGCTGGAACAGGTATGACAGAGGTCACATGGACTGGGAATACACCATTTAATCACATTATGTATGGGCCCTAATGTCAAACATATTTGATACACATTTTATTACTTGCAAAGGTGTTTTGTCTAAGCAGCAAAAAAGCAGTCAAAGAACAACATATGCAGATGACCATGTGAGTGTTGTTTCTGCAGGGTTCTTTATGAGATGCAGGCAAGTCTAGAGCATTTTGGAGTTGTCCTCCGCCAGAGGATGGGGGATCTGCATGTGTGTGAGGCCCAGCAGAACAAGGTCAGCTCTCTTTTTTCCACAAAAGACACACACCGTCTGTCTTTAGCCCTATTCATGCGTGACACGTTGTCCCTGGGGAGGTTAGGTAAATTTAGTGTTTCAGAGACTCACTTTGTGATTTAATTCTGTCCAAAGTTGAACAAGGCAGTGTAAAAATTACACAACAAATTAGTTGGCAAATAAAATTTTGGCTTACTTTGGGCTCAATCCCAAAGATAAGAATGTCTGTGAGGGCAGAATTTACATTTTTACAGTAGTTCTCCTTATTTGTGTTGACTTTAGTTGTATAGCATGACTACAGCTAAATTTCTCATTATGCTGCCTTGTGCACAGTCATTATGAATTTTAAGTCAAATTAATTTCAAGTGGAACTTGCATCACTTCCAATTTTAAATGATAATTATTCAAATCAATAAGAACTTGCCTAATCATGGCTGTTCAGCCCTTTTCAGGCATAAGTTATCCCTGAGGAGGTTAGAGAAATTTTGTGTTTCACAGACTTCACACAAGTGAACATTTCTCTGTTTTTCCTCACGCAGCCTCTGTTAAAATTGCACAATAAATTAGTTTTTTGACCAACTCTGGGCTCAAGCTCATCTGGAAATAATGTCTAAGGGCAGATTTGTATTTTTCACAGTGGTTATTGTTTATTTTGACCTTAGTTTTGACTTTAACTACTGCTACATTTCATTATGAATTTATGAGGTTTATTTTTTTGTGTGTGCAAACTCTCTGGGTAAATATCTCAGTTCAGAATTAATTCATAAATAAGTAAGGAGAGTCTAATTATCAGGTATGATCCTCTCCTTAATTCCTGCTCATAATTCACATATCTTTCTGCCTAAACCTAACAAACTATTCTGAAGTCAGACATTTATACAGTTCCTGATCCACAAAAAGCTTGGATACAGTATGGAGCATCCAGAGTCCTGACCACGTTCTTCTCCATCTTTGCAGGTTCTGGACAGAGCTGTGCTTAGAGCTCTCCAGCAGCCTGTAGGAGCTGTGGGGGTGGATGGACAGAAAAAAGATGATGAGCACATGATTCTCAAGTATGTCATTGCATTGAAGATAACACAGCATTTATCAGTTCCAAATAAAAAAAATAAATAAAAAAAAAACTGTTTCCAGAATGAACAGATTAAAGGATGAGATGGAGGCTGTGGCACGGGAGCTACAGAATAACAACAACATGATAGAAAGGTACTGTATAGTGTTTAGCTGTGAATGTTTTTGTGTACAACTAATGTTTTTGTGTAGAAAATCCTTTCAAATTTAACAAGGCATCTTCTTTTTAAGCCTTGCGTTAGTTACCGCTACACTGCCATTGGAGAAAAAAGTACCTCAAGCCAACAGACCATGAAGACCTCAAAGAATGCACAGCAATATTTATATTTACAGAGCCTGAATCTGTGAGCTAAAGGGAAAGCAAAAGAAAACATCTGAAAAAATGTCCTTGGTTGAACCTCTCAAACCATAAAGAACAGATTAATGGCTTAATGGCTGTTACCAGGGCAGGCAACTGAAATTACATGATGTGTACTGATGTGCAAAGCGCAAATTGAGTTATGACTGGTCTCGAGTCCCTGAACTGTCCTGTGACAGATTAAAGGAAAACAGGAGTGTTTAAAACTGCACTTTGATTTGATATGAATCACAAAAGTCGTATTTCTCAGATTCAGTGTTCATGTAGTTACTGCATTTTATCTTCATGCAGTCTAGTAGTATTGACTTTAACAGCCAAGAAAATAGAAATATAGATCTGTTGTAACTACTACAGCAGTTTTCATGAGACTTAAATATTGATGGCACAGTGCATTCAGCTGACAATAATGGTGTAATTATTGCACAGTCATGGGATAGAGAGAGAAGAGTTCAGTCTGCTTTGTAATTGATTCCGTTTTTGAGAGATAACTGCAATTGCACTAATTTAATTAGTCTGTTGATCACAACAGAGTATCACACAGCATGGAGCTCTAGAGGAGGCTTTGTTGTTTATTTGACAATGTTTACCTGGGCCTTTGAAAAATGTGTGAACTGTACAAATGACTCCAAATATTATCCTGCAAATACTGACAAGAGTCAATAGGCTTATACCTTGCTGTGTTACAGATCATTACAATATGGAAAGTGAATGATGTGTTTGGTGGGTTCTTGTGGCACATTACAGAGTGTGAGTTAAGGGGAATTCCTCTTCCTGGGGCAACTATGGTGACCTTACAGAGACCACGCTTTGTTTCAATGTCAAAGCTTGCATATGTTTGACTTAAAATGGAATTTTATCAATTTTCCTTTTGCCAGTTTGTAAACTTGCGTGTTAAATGTTTTGTATTTTTTTTAACATCTTCACTTCTGTATTGTGAGGTAAGAGGTACCCTTTAAATGTAAAGTGATACTTGACAGACTATATATGGCGCTAATAAATATATGAACACAATTGGTGAAAATCATTTTTTATTTAAAAAAAATATATATTTTTTAATGTATTTATGTATATTTCAGATGTTAATATATAATATAGATAACAAAGCATAAATAGTTATAAAAATGCACAATAATGCAAATAACATATTTGAAATGTGCAGGGGCATGTTTACGTTATGGGGGGCCCTAAGCAAATCTCCATGAGGGGGCCCCGCGATCGCGATCCGGGTGTGACTATTCATCTAAACAAAATAAATGTAAAAAAAAAAATGTTTTTAAATAAGAGTTGTATATGAGATTCTTATAAACAGTGACAACAACGTTTATTCATGGCACCTTTAAACTTCTCTATTATATTTAATTGGAATAACAGAAGTGATCGACAAAATCATGAGTTTGTGAGGGCAGCCTTGGCATTTTTAAAATTCTCTTTCTTCTACTGTTTAGTGGAATAACAGAAGTGAGCGACAATCATTGCTTTGTGAGGGGCAGGTTCGCGCAGCCAGTGACATTTAAAGCGCGCAGCTGATTCAGTGTGCGCGTCACACTCTCGCCGCTGGCGCTTCAATTTAGTTTATATTCTGCCCACATACAACTCTTAGCCGAAATGGCGTCCGTCACTTTAGGACAGCACCCTGCTCAACACCACCTCGACTCGGATCAGCAACTATTCCACAAACTGAAGTCGAGCGACAGGAAGAAATTCACGCGTAAATGGTCGCTGGACAAGATCATCACGCGATACAGAGCGAGTGATATGGACAGCGGGAGAGCCGCAGTCTCAGCATCGCTCGTGTTATTCAATCACGAGCCGCCTTCAGCATCACACAGCCGTGGCGGCTCGCCACGTAGTAATATGGACGGACCTGTTGTGGACATGGACCGAGAAAACGCAACCAATAATAACGGGATATTTCGCAGACACAGTGCCGGGAGCCGGAGAAGCTCGGTGAAGGACACGGCAAAGATCCATGCGTCTTCATCCCCACAAGAAGTTCGCAATGCCTCGGCGCGGTCAAACTTCAGCTGCCCGACAGACGAACTGGAAGGACTGGCGATCGACAAGGTGACACAGGCGAGGTCGGGAGTAGTGAAGATGCGAAGCGAGCCTCTCAGGAGGGAGGCATGGTCCATCTTCAACCAGAGAGACCCCAGGGTGAAGGCAGAGAGGGGAGAGGGCCACATCTTCATCTCCAGACGGCTGAGCCAAGACTGGTGCGACGCCTGCAACCGCCAAATCAGCAGCGCTGCGCTAAAGTGTCAAAGTAAGTGACCGCTATCTCTCCTCTCCTCACCTGACCTTAGATAAACCGAGGGATGGATGAATGAATGAATGTTGGTTGAACGGAAAGGTGCATGTAATGACGGATAGATGAACAGGCGGAAGATTAGGGAAGTCTGAGGGAAGCATGGATAGATAGAAAGAAGGTTGGATGAATGCAGAATGGATGGATGAATTGGACTGATGGAAACAGATGAAGGGCTGGATGGATAAATGTGCAAATACTGATAGATAGATAGATAGATAGATAGATAGATGTAGGGTGGATGGATGCATTAACAAATGATTGGCAGGGTAGAAAGATAAAAATAGATTTTGGATTTAATATTGGATGGACAAATGGATGCAGGATTAAATGGGTGCATATTAGAAGGGTTAGAGGAATGATAGATAGATGGATGAATTAATGGATGGACAAATGGATTGAGAGTTAGATCCATTGGATGCATGGATGAGTGGTCCGAGGATAAACAGATAGTTGGACGGATGGATGGATAAATAATGAACAGATGAATAGATAGGTGGATAGATTGAAATATAGTTGAATGGATTGATGGACAGATACAGATGAATAAATGGTTGGATGGATGGACTTAAAGGTAGATAGATAAATCGTTATGTTCATTGTTGTATGTTTTTAGCATTCATAAAAGACTCTAAACTTAAAGGCTTTATAAAGTGTTTAAATTGTGAGGAAGAGGAAAAAATCTCTAATGCAAAAATCTCTAATGCAAAAATCTCTTCAAAAAACTGTTCAGCATTCAAAACCATGAGATGACTAGAAAAGAAAGAAAAAGGAGTTGATAGAAAAGAGATACATTGAGGCATGTCCATATACGTATGTGTTTATAAAGTACACAAGTGTTTGTTTTGCTAGCATTTCTGCTGAAGGGGTTGTTTGAACGGCTCCAGTGTTAAAGGAACTTCCAGCAGTGTATGTTTAATCAAGATGAAGCATGCTGATACATGTGGAGGGTTTACGGAGAATGAGGGGGAAGTTCCCAGCAGAGGTCATTGTTTGTTTTTCTGTTTCGTTATTTGTCATATTTGATTAGTTGTATGAAGGGGAAGGGGGATATGGTATGGATGACCCCCTCCAGATCCCTGGGGCTTCCTAAATGAAGTACTGTCACCCACGGAGGTCTCTGATTGTCTGGAGATAGAAATGAGAAACATTTGAAGCATGTGAGTGAGGTACACTTGCCTTTTAAATAAATAAAGTAAGAATCTGAAATGGGATCCAGTTACCCTGTTTGAATCATTTTGGATTTTTCTTAATGGTTTAGAGGTACTTGCTTCCTCTCTTTGCATGCTTTGCCTCTGCTCTGGTATTGCTGTTGTACCTTTGTTGCTGCACTCCACTGTCCCATTATGCATTTCAGCTAATTCACTTGCTTTTAAAAGGCTGCTATAACAAAACCCTCTGTTATAAATAAAACTTCCTTGGACAGGTTTGTAAAAGAGAACCAAAATCAATATACTATCAATTCATACAGTACTAGAATGTCCTATACCGTGATCTGAAATGAACGAGTTTACAATGCACCATGAGAACATAAGGTTCAGCCTGTGTGTTTAGTTTTGTGTGTGTGCACATGGTGCATCTGTTTGCTCGAGTATGTGTGTGCATGTGTAAAGTGTTGCTGAGTTAGCAGTGTGTCAGCAGTTCTCTTTTGGAAAAGGTACTGCAGGGAACGGCTTCATAAGGGACAGACAGCGAAATTGCAGGGGTTTATGGAGTGTGTCATTTAGAAGTTGGGGATGATTCTAGGATTATACATTAACCCCAATGACTGTTCTGCCCTTCCAGTGCAGTGAAAAGTCAAATTTGGGCGTCTCTTTAACCCTCCCTTAGTCCTTTCTTTATTATTTTTCTTTATAAATAGTCCCTTTAAAGGCATAGGTCACCTAAAAAAAAAAAAAAAATGCCTTTCTTTCTAGTATTTTTTGACCATACAGTAAAAGCCAGTGGGTCCATTGTATCGATTGAAATAGTTGAAACATTCTTCAAAATACCTTCTTTTGCATAAGAAAGTCACACAGGTTTGGAACAACATGAGGGTGTGTAAATGATAACAGAATTGTACTTAATGGAACAGTATAGCCAGTCGAGCAGAATGTTGTATCTCTCCCATACTGAGCCATGAAAGTGTGTTTGCAGAAGCTCCTTATCACATTTCATAGAGTTCCACTATTTTCATTGAAACCACAGGAGTTTTAAACACTTGTTCCTCAACCTTTATTGTAAATGCCAGGGTTGGGTGTAATTTTTCCTGGTAGTTTTGTTGTGGTTTGTCAGTAAGAATCAGAATGGGATACACTGGGGTTTTCCAAATTCAAAATTTTGCCATTTTCAGTTCATGGGGGTTTTGTGTAGCATTCCAAGAGCATGTCCTGATATGCCTCCACCATAAGCGTTGGTTTCTTTTCTCTAGTATGTTGAAATGCCCCTAGCAGAGTTATTGCACATGACCAGAAGTCACTCATGGGTAAAGCACAACATTGTAGTTTGTAATTGTTGCTTTTTTTGTTTAGAAGTGTCTTGGAGCATGCTGGGAAATGGTGTATTTAAGAGGTTGCGGTGGTGCAGGCGGGCTAAAGATGGAGCGTCTTGACTACTACAGATCACCATTTTAGTGCACACAGCCCGTAATTATACACACTGAATGAAAGAGGCAGTCAGAGAACATCAGTGGTTACGTTCGCCTATAAACAGTTCCTTTGAGCTCTTACTCTCTCCCAAAGGAAAGAAAAATCACAAATGAGGTCTCTTTAAAAAAATCAATTGTTTCTCTTAGATAACAATACAATTCATAAGAGAACAAATGGAGACTTTTGCTAAAGTCGCCTGATTCTCAGATGATTTTCTTGATGAAAAAAAGGAATATATAGTGTTCTTCAGAAGAAAGAAAGTCATTATTGGATAAACTATCCCTTTAATAGTCTCTGAATATTTTCAGAGTCTTGCACTTCACTCATTCACCAAGAAACCAAAATACAAAAATTTACAATAAGAAATTACATTTAAATATGACTTCAAACATTTCTCATCAGATTTTTCCTAGATTATTTGATCTGTGGTATTCAGTACACATTATTGTTTATAATTATTTATATATATACACTATAAAAAGTAGTAACAATTGTTGTTTTAAAAGGGAGCTATTTCTACCAGATCTTACATTTACATTTTGTTTTGTTGGTGTAACTTTTTTTTTTTTTTTTTTTTAAGTCAAATGCATGTTGTTAAATAATTTTGGACCAATCTGCATACCTTTTTTTTTTTTGGATAGAATCACTTAATTTAGATGTTACCACATTTTTGTGCATTTTTTCCCTCCCAAGTATATCCAATACTCCCATTTAAAATTCAAGGAATTTTTATGAGAAACATATCTGGAATCTCTATGAAATCTCCTGAGTGATAAAAGAATATCCTTTGAACAATAAAATGTCCCTCTAAGGCAGCTCTTTCTTGCTCAGAACCTGAAACCTCACATTAGTCTTCGATTGCACAAATGCATGGCTAAACAGATTGTGAAAGGCATGCTCCATTGTGTTTAGTACTACCATTATAAAGTTCTGTTTCTGAATTATATTACATGATGGATATGTGTTAGGCTGAGTCACTATAGGTTTAAACAAGGTCTCAAGGTTTAGTCAAGGAGAATGAGTGAGTTCTCCTCAGGTAGCCTCCACCTCCCTGCTAGTGTGACTCAGAGTTACTGAGTGTCTTAAAAAGCATCCCTCACTGCATGGGCCTGTCTCAAAGCATCAGTCTTACCTGCTCTCTCCCTCTCCTTCAGTCTGGCTTTATTTGTCTAATCTGGCTGGGTTTTTGGCAACCTCCCCAACTCAATTAAGCACATATCCGTCTGAAATGGAGGGATGCTGCCTGTCTGCCTTTGAGTTTAATCCATACTGGAGTAAAACTGTTTTTAGCCATATTGCAGATGGATTATAGCTTATGGATGCCAGTCAGACATCGGATTGATTTTTAATTAAAAGTTTCAGACACACAGTAATACTAGAAAGAGGAATGTTTTCTTTTTGGCCTCGACGAGGTAAAGGGATGCTGTTGGGTAGATGTAATGTGTTGTTTACTTTCTGACCTTTGGAAGCTCTGCATCCACCCATAAACATTAAAAAAAAGTTCTTAAAGGTGCAATAGGTGATTGTCTTCAGAAACATTTTTTGTTATGCTGGTTGAAAGTCTCTTCACATCCCGATAGCAATCATTAAGTTAAGTGGTCTAAATGTATTTGTCTGTATTTATATATTCTGTGGAAGGCGTAGGATCAAGAAATGTTCGTCCAATCAAAACGCTCGGTCCGAGCGTTTTAATATGCTTTCCTACCTGCCTGTCAACGTATGTATTAGCATACCTCTGCGCACCCAGTTCGCACAGACAGGACACGTCATCAGCGCGTTCACGCACGCTGTGCAGACAGAGCAAGAATGGCAGACAAACATCAACAACCCGATCTTCCTCCCT